TAATCGTAGTGAAAGACAACAGACAAAAAAAAAAAAGAAGAGAAAAGATCATATTCACATCTACAGTTCTATTACAATCGTGGTGAAAGATAATATAAATATAATCCTTCAATATGTTAGAATGGTATTTTGCAATTTTGGTGCTTCGATACTTGAGTGTCAATATTGAAAAATGGCACACCCACACTAATGAAAACATGATACATCGGAGGAGGTGTATGTGTATACTAGGGGATGAAAGTGGGATGGTCGACTTTTTATGTTCTCATACGCAATTTATATTGAAATTTTATTTATTTTGATATCAAAATTTTATTATCCAAAATCTTTCGAATATCTATGTAAAGATCAGTTCTATCTGTATCCACGGTCAAGAATAACATTAACAAGAAGTTTCCCAAAATCTTTTCTTATAATCCGTCAAAATTCTGTGCTTGTTGGTGCTTTGATATTTTAGAACCCTATGGATATTTATTTTGGCATACAAAATGCAACGGCACCAGTGGTCTAGTGGTAGAATAGTACCCTGCCACGGTACAGACCCGGGTTCGATTCCCGGCTGGTGCATGTGTTTTTGGTAATCAACCGTTGCCTTTGTTGGTGCGGAATAACGGGAAGAGTGAAGGGGTGGGCGGGAGCAAGGACACCACATCATCCAGAGAACCTCCCCGCATTTTGCGGGCGACACTCGACATGGGCCCCTCTTCGTACCCCCTACCGTTGCTTTTCCCGCGCGCTCCGCCAAAGCCTGTTTCGGACCCCACGCCCACATCCCATCATCTCTCTCTCTCGCTGCCGTTCTATTGTTATTTCCCTTTTCCTTCTTGTAATGTACTCCCTTCTTTTTAGGGCACTAAATGGGAAGTAACAGACTTCGACCCTGCGGGATCCGTCTCTGGGGATGTTGCTGATTCTTTTAGAAGTTAGCTCATTGCGAACCTTACTTAGAATGTGGAATGCTTTTGCTTATGTCCACTTCAAGGAAGACGATGATGGTTGGAGTAATCTTCCCTCTTATCCAAATATATCCGGTAGAAGTAAGAAGAATCCTTCTGCTCGAGGAGGCTTCTTGGCTTAACAGCTACCTCCATTTGGCCATCCGACTTGCAAAGCTGGGTCATATTCCAGTAGCTGTAAGAATCCTTGTGCTCGAGGAGGCTGGCTCTCTTATCCGTATACATCACTGTAAAGACAACTCATAGGACATGCATGAGGAACGAAGGATTTGGTGCTGCTACTTCTATGGCTTCATCAGGGTCCTCAACCAAACAGTAGAAGAACTTCGATGACCAGGGAAGGGGAGTGTGTAGGTGATGTTAGATGATTACCAATTCTAAAAGGCATGCTCAGTCCCTCACACAACAATCTCTACACTACCAGCACAAGAACCCTTGTCACTGCAACAAAATATACTTTAGGCTGCAGTTTTTAGCAAAGAATCACTTCAGGAGAGATCGACACTTGCGATTCCAAGAGAGAGAGAGAGAGAGAGAGAGAGAGAGAGAGAGAGAGAGAGAGATTATTTTCATATATCCAATCACCTGTTGATCCACTAATACTTCAAAATGGAGAAGGTCCACCAAAACAGCACCGAAGTACGCCTAGAGATCTTTCCAGTGATAACATAACCATGGAAATTTGACTCGGGTGCTGATGGACATGTCCTTGAGAACCCTTTTTGCATTAGGTGGGTTAAAATCAGTCGAAGATATTTTGAGACATGTCTTCATCGATCAGATGCACATTCAATTTGGTCAATGTAATTGCTGCAGTTACTTTTTAATGCAACTTTTAGCCAAATCATTGATTTCCAAGTCGACTGTAATCGATTGCATGGACTGAGTTCAAAAAAAGCTTCCCCAAGTGCTACAAACTCCTTTTTTGAGCTAACCTCCAATATATATATATATATATATATATAGACTGATTCTTTTCCTTCCAACTTATTTGAGCTAACTGTGTTCAGATGTTACACCACTGAACTCTTCTTTCCAACATCATCTAGAGAGCAAAGGGATCTGATGGTACTACCCAAATTACAAGCTTTGACATATTCCTTCTACGTTGGCTAGGCTGAGTCTGAAGGCCACTTATAAGAATCCAATTCAATTCAATTGTTAACTAGTGATAGATATATCATCACAACAAGGAAGGTGCCACTTGAACTCTGTTGATGACACACTCATCACTTGGAAATCACATCTCTTTGCCTTCATCCTCAGGTTCTCTCTGACTAAGAAACCCACTTGAATTCTTCATGTGTAGGTTATTTTGATTCAAAAAAGTATATTATATTGGACCAAACTGTAGTTGGTCTTATTTTATTGTCTTGATCGACTCACTCAAAGAATGCACAACTTTCTCCTGACAAGCATATCGCATTCAAAGAGCGGACTGCTTCTCAAAGTTCAATCTAATTTAGATCATTAGGGGAAAAAAAAAATGTACTTCTGCTATGATCCACTGGTTCTTCCTTTCTTCCTTCCTTCAACTTTTACGAACCAAGTGCAGGGAAAGGACCACTCAAATTTGTGTCTTTTCTTTATGCGATGGCAAGCTATGCTTAGGCAATGAACCCTATCGATTGGTTACCACTATCTCAGTATATAACAATACTATTGTTACATGTTCCAAGGATATCTTTTCGATCTGTAGCAGGTGGCAATGAGGTTGAGCTTGGAAAAGCAAGTGATACCAAAGTGGGGGAATCTAATGGATCCAAGAGTGTTTTTTATTGTTGTTATTATTATTATTATTAGTGGATGCAATGATTCCACTGTTAGGGTTGATGGACTTGAGGGTTTACCATTGGAATGCTACATCCAAGTAGCCATTAATTAATCAAATATTAGGTGGAATAAAGTAAGCAGTTCATGTGATCCATGTGAAGCTAAGGTGTCCTCATTTGCGAACACCATCAATTACTCTACTCCAAATTATGCATTTCTTTGACGAGAAACTATCCATGTTTGCTCAGCAGAGAGATCAAATGTTGACTGTTTCTATGGTCGAAAAGTTAGTCATCCCTGATTAGAACAAGATATACTAGTTTTTGATGTCTCCATTGCTCTTGATTCATATTATATATACACTGAGGCATGAAGATTAGTATCATATGACCTGTTCATGCTAGATTATTACTGTAGATTATCACAGCTTTCCTTAAACCCAAGTGAGGAACCATTCATTCATTTGCAGTCACAGGAATCAAGAGGTTTGTGAATCTCTCTCTTACTCCTCGAGAATGCAATATAATAATGCTTAAAATATTATATTAGAAAATTAATATAATAATTTTTATCTATTCTATGTTAATAGAGAAAATCAAATTCTTCATCACATAAGATCAATTACAATACTCTTGAGTTCTCCTCAGTAAAATACAAATTTTCTTGTACACTCTCTCGAAAGTATTCCTCTCTAGAAACTCAGTGATATCAAAAATATTCCTTACATATTGTTCTTTCCTTATCAAAACTTAGAATACTTTCTCCACTACAACTCCTTCTCGTTCTAGAATTTCTTATCATTTTAAGATATTTGACTATAGAAATCACGAAATACTTATCGATTCTACCGGCATGAAAGAGATAGGAAGACTACAACTCTAAGAGGAACAAGCATCACTCGGAGAAGAAGGTAAATAAGGTAGGTGTGGTAAACTTATGGAAAACAAGTTTAGCTTCACAAAATTATGCATTGAATCTTTTGGATCCCTATATATGATGCGACAAATTATCCTAGAAGATAAGATTATGAGACATATTTGGTCCACATTAGCAGCAGTAGATTAATATATCTTCCACGAAAACATGGCGTGGAACACAAGTCATCGCAATTGGCCTTCGATATGGCATCTACGCATCTTTTGACCACGTAAAAAATGATGATTTATTATTGATTAAGAGAGACTTTTCAACACCACCATCTTCTAAAGTGCGCCTTTAGGGAAACTATCCTCCTATTGATGATCTTCACTTATTTGAGGCATCAACATTAACAAAATGATTTTTAGATTACTTACCAATTTTTAATGATCATTATGTGGAATTCTCTGCCCTCAATCTCTCAAGCTTTTTCTTCTTCTTTTTAGTTAGTTAGTTGCCACTCTTCACTCTGTGTCAATAGCTAGCTTATTTGGATTGAGAGATTAGGTTTAAGCATTATACATTGGCAAAATGAAGTCACTTATTATCAATGAAAAATCTAGGATTATTTTCAGTGAGCAATGAATACTGTTTCAAGAAAAATTGCATACTAAAAGTCTTTTTTGTTTACTGTTATGTTACTTATCCCAAGTTTATATTCAACTTAAGAATAAGAAAAATTGCAAAATATGTAGACAATGAGGTTATGAAGTTGAAATTGTTGGGAAAAAGCTTGCTATCAATAAATGATGATATGAAACCCAACAAGTTATGTGGTTTGCCTTTGTAATGTAGAAAATACATGGGTTATACATACATATACCCCAATAGAATATACGGTCGAGCGAGATAATTAAAAGTTAAACATTAGGTTGTGTTTTGGGTATTGCACTGAGATAATGGACCGATAATTACCGAAAAAAATAACAAAGCATTGTAGTAATGACAACAGATTAAAATGACTCTCTATTAGTGCAACAAATTTGACCAAATATTATTATTAGCTCTTTGAGGTTGTGATGTGCTGCATATTTTTCCCTGGAAAACACCCTTTTCACTGTAATTGTGAAAGCTGTAATCTTGTATGTGTTTGCCTGAGTCCAGCAGTAAACAATTGCCCACATCCTCTTCTCTTGTTTGGAAAAGCCTGATCCAGTGTTCTATCTTTGTTCAAATGCAAGAAAAATGGATTCCAAATGTATACAACATTATAATTAGTGTCATATACTCCCTACTGGGGTGCATATATTTCTACAAGTAGATTTGTGTCAAGTATCAATCATACTTGTCAACCTAGCAATAATGATGCAGCTCCAGTGGCCCTAATGATTGACCATAAGAAGAAAATGAGCATCAGTGAAGAGTAATAATATATGTAGAACACAACATGCAATACTCAACAGTAGTTCTCAAGTGATTCCTGTTTTGCATATCAAACTATACAATGGTGGCATCCACCATGGTTTCATAGCTTAATCAAAGAGTTGCTCGAGACAGACCTTGAAGCAGCAGCAGCAGCAGCTGTTCTTCCAGCTTTCCCAATCTCTCCTGCTTATTAGCTATGGTACAACGTAATTGTAGGCTATGCTAAGCTAATAAGGGCATCTAAGCTGACACCAACACCATCGTTGCACGCCACCACATCCGAGGAAACAGAAGCCAAAAGCTCCAAGGAATACTGTCATACACCATGGAAGCAAAGAGAAGCTTCTCTTTCGTCGTCCTCCTGCTAAACTAGTATGGCGGGGGGCGCGCATGAGCCCACGCGAGCGCGTCGTGGCCGAGCTGCCCGCCGTTGGGCATTAGATTCGGCGGCAAGCTGTACATGTTGAGCAACGATGGATCGGGCAACCCACCCGTGAGTGAGCTCGGCAATCCGGCGTTGGCGCCTGCGGCTTCGTCTTCCTCCTCGAGTGGCAGCCTCTCGTAGGTAGCGGTAGCGAACGTGGCGGCGACCACCATGACAGGCCCCGTCGCGATGAGCGACCCCACGACGGTGCCGCCGACCACCTGGCCCTGACCGCCGGCGAGGTAGACGGCCAGGCCGCTGGTCCCCGGCGGGGCTGGACCCGGCAGGAACGTGCCGGTGAGCGACAGGATCTCGAAGCGGCCATGCAGGGCGACGACGGAGCCGGGTGCGGCGGGCTGGCGGAGCGTGACGTTGGCGACTGCACCGGCGCCGCTGAGCACGCTGACGCCGCACTGCCGGCGGCGCGCGAACTGCGCGATGCAGTCGGCTACGTCGGCCCCGGCGGCCACCTCCATCACGTGGCTGCGGAGCGCGTTGGGGCTGTCGCGGGTGATGAAGATCGGCGGCTTCGGCTTGTTCTTTGATCCAGGGGGGCGCCCGCGGGGGCGGCGGCTGCCGACCTCCACCGCCCCCTCTTTGGGGTCGTCGTTGTTGTCGCGGTCGTCCTCGTCGTCTGCTCGGGAGCCGAAGGGCTCGGTTCCCTTGGGCTGCATCTCGTCCTCCAGCTTTTTGCGACCGGAGGACGCCGGTTCAACTCTGGGAAGGCCCAGGTTCCCCGCCCACCAGGGGTTCGACATCTTGTCAGCTTAAAGCACCAGATCTTCCAACCTACAACTCTCTCTCTCTCTCTCTCTCTCTCTCTCTCTTCCTGCTGCTTTTATGCGTTCCACTTCTGTGTACAATAAACTAGAAGAGAGGCAAACTGAGAAAAGCTTCTGAAGATTTAACAAATTATCTCTTTCCCTCTCTCTCTCTCTCTATCTCCCTTTTCCTTCTATATCTTCCTCTTCTCTGTATACTATACTAGAAGAGACGCAAACTTGAGAGAAGCTTCTTCTTTGGAGAAGACGAAGGAAAGTCTCTCTCTCCTTCGACTCCTCTTTTCCTGCTGCTGCTTCTATCTCTTCCACTCATCTGTACACCATACTAGAAGGGACGCAAACTGAGAGAAGCTTCTTCTTTGGAGAAGATTGACGAGGAAGGTGGGAGCAAGAGGAAGCAGCTCGGAGTCAGTTTGTATGTCATCCACCGGAAGAGGCGAGGGAGAGGGATGAGGGAATTGGGTTTGGTCTACATGATGGACAAGGAAGGAGGCAAGAAGAACCTTCAACATCTACTACCTAAAACAGAATTCCACGCCGATCTTCTCACACAGAGGAGGGCAGAAACGGGAGTTTGCCCTTTTCCTCTTCTTTCGGTCTACACAGAAGCAGCAGCCAAGTGGTAGTAATTAAGAAAACCTGGCCACTCACTGAGAGGAGAAAGCGAGGCCATATCTTCCAATCGTATGTGTGTGTGTGACACAGAGAGAGAGAGAGAGAGAGAGAGAGATGCGGATGGGGTGTACATGGAATAGTTTACTGGTGGGACGTTCTTTCGTTGTTGCCATAGGGTGGTGCAAAGAGAAATAATAGAACAGTGTAAGAGAGAGAGAGATAGAGAGAGACAGATGGTAATTGTTTACCTCATTGCTCGCGTGTAGGGCCGCGTGCGCATGGGAAGGTGGGAAGCACGTCCCTGTCTCAAGCCTCGTCGTCCCAATCCTCCACCAGAGATGCTCGTGAGAGATCGAGTCTCAACGCACTCAGACTCTGCTGCTTTCAACTCCATTCACTTCAAGAACAGCCCATCTCTTCCACGCCCCCTGCAAATATATATATATATAGTTCTTAGCAGAATTTATAGAGCAGTGACTGCAGGATCTCTGTCTTTCCTTTAGTCTCTCAGCAACAACATGAAGTCAATTGAAGGGATCAGAATGTCGCTATGAGGAAGATCTAATTGGTGGTAAATTAATTTGAATCCTTTTTCTCTGATGCAGAGTTTTCAATTTGAGAAGTTGTTCAGCTTACAAGAGATGACTTGTAACAAAGATTTGCATTACTACCCATCACGATTACTTTTTCTCAAGAAACTGGATATCAATGGTGATTAAGAGAAATTTGCTAATGAAATGTTGATAAAGAGAAAACATTAAATGTTTTTGGTAGTTTCATTAGAGGAAATTAAGAATTAAATGTTCTCTTAGGGTCTCATTTCTCTTCTCTTTGCATATCTATAGATAGATATCAATGGTGTTATTTGCAACATTTCCAATCAAAAATCAATCATAAATACTTAAAGAGGCTCCACATACATACATACATACAGTAGTTAAAAGAAATAAACTAATTAAAATTAATGATACGAGAAAAAGGTAATGGAAGACTAAAAAAAATTTAATAAAAACTATAGATAAAAGTTTCAAGGTGACAAAAAATTCATGTAGTCATCCTAAATAGTTAAGACTTTCCACGTAAACATATTAATAACACATTTAAGATAAACTATAAGCAAAATCAAGCATCCTATCATAATAATTTAAGTAATTCATCATCTAAGATAGTATAAACATGTGCTTAGGAGATCTATATATACGATAGTTAGAAAAAAAATAAAATAATTAATATTAATGATATAAGGAAAGACAAAGAAAAACTAAAAAACTCTTAATAAAAATTATAAATAAAATTTAAATACTCTAAATTTAACTAAACATATGACGTTTTACAAATTTCTGGAGCGATAAAAAATTTATATGATCAGCACAAATAATTAAGACTTACGACTTTATTGGTTTCGTTGATTCGACGTGAACATATCAACAACACATTTCAGATACCTTCCAAAATTGTTGGCAGGATCAAGCATCCTATCACAATCATTCAAGTAATTCATCATCTTTATTAAGATTCTAAAACGTTCAACAGGAAAATGATAGGACTACAAGATAAAAGACCTGAAAATGATAGGACTCATTCTTAGTCTTCAACCTCACAAGATTCAACATCTAAGGTGTCAATTTCACATATACAGTAATAGTACGCAAAAGGATATCACGCGTGAGGGCTACAGTCGCAATAAATCACTTTAAAAGGACCAACAATCTGCTTGTGTACTATAAAGCTGAAGATTTCTACTTGGTTAGGTAATACATGAGTAAGAAGAGCACCAGGAAAGAGATCACAAGTGTAGCCATTCTGCAATTCAACTTTCTCTCAAAAACCTAAGGAAGAAAATTTAATTTTGGTCAAAAACAGAAGTAGAAACCCAATGAACAGATGTGAAGTGTATTTACCATCTTGAATCGATCAACTGTTCCAGAAAGGACTCCGCTGGAAGTATCCATGTCATGACCCTAAAACCAACACCAAGAAATCACAATTGGATACTTTGCTAGACAAAGGACAAGAGAGTGAGAAGCCCCCATGTGCCCTGCACATACCATTTGGTCCAAGGCATGATTATGGATCTCGACTTCTTCATGTATTTCCCATCAACTTCACACCAAGATGATCATAATAACTAAAATGTAATAGCAACAAATAGCCAAGTTTTCTAAGATAATTAAATTCCTTATCGCTGCATGTTAAGATAGATAAATAGGCATCAACTGTGTCACAAAAAAAAGGAAATGATTGAGATGATTGTCGATATAAAAATAAATGACAAAGGCATAATTTCTCTGTTAAACTGCTGATGTTTCAGAAGATGAAAAACTAATTGAATTACCAAACTCAAATAAAAGAGATGGGCACAAGAACAATTAAATGAAAATAAGAAAAGGATATACAAACTGGAAAATTAGAAGATATTTTCTCTTTAGATTACTAAATAAAACTGTTTAAGTAAATTTGTGGCAATTTTAGAAATAATGAGAAGGGGAAAATATTTAGGGTGATCTTGAAAAAAAACAAGATCTAATCATAGAGTGTAACATTTGCATATTGACCAAAGATATTCCACCAATATTAAGGTCTTCAACTGGGTAATATGAAGCATGACTCCTTAGCAGGGCTCAGAGTTCTGAAGATCAAACATTACAGCATTAAATAGATATCTCTGGGCAAAGAAACAGCAGAGTATCTCTTACCAGTCCATATGGAACAACTCTAAAGAAGAATATTTTACACATTCATCATCAAAAACAAAATTCTAATAATCTGGAAGAACATGACCAGGTAGATCATAAAAATATGACTGAAGCTGGGGTGTCAAGTTTAAACCCAAGCATCGACTAAAATAACTGTCACCGGTCCTCACCCAACAAAAAAAGAACCGTCACCAGTGGCAGTGAAGAAGTAAGTGCTAAAACACATCACAAAACCAAAAAAAGCACAGGTCCATCAAGAAGCTTCCAATCTTAAGAAAGATATTTGTTCTAATATCAATCACAATATCTATGAAATATATTAACAAGATAAACAACAGGTCCAACAGTTATATCAAGAGAAATTTGAGTAGGACTTGATAAAATATAATAAGTCAGGAAATATTTACCAAAAAATCAAATAAAATATTGTAAATGACCTACTCTTTTTTAAAAATTCACTCTATCTTGCAACCCATCAATATATTTATCTTAGTCATACTCAGCAATTTCATGAGACGATTAAGATGAGGCCTGAATGCCACCCTCCTCAATGCTATCAAACAGAGCAGCTCTGTTGTTTCGATACTCTCTCTGCAAGCAGTTAAATTAAACATAAGATAAGAAGTGACAAATTCAAGGACTTATTTAAAATACTAGAATAAAGTACAAATTTTGCTGAAGATCCAAAAAAAACACTGCCAAAGTGCTAATAGGCAATGCAATTCAAAAAATGAATTAACTCTTTCCTTTATGTCGAATGTGCCACTATCAAGGAACACACCATATGAGCTACGGTATGTAATAAAAAAGCTACACTTAGAGCATCACTAATGAAGCTCAATGCATTTTAGTCAAGTTTGTGCCACAGCCTAAACTCAAGCTTTCTATAAAAGCGGTCCATTTAATGCGTTGAAAATCTTTAACAGCCAAAATGCTAAATTCAATTGCTGCTGCTGGCAAGCACATATTTTTATACTAATAATTTCTGTTTTGGCATAAAGTGGGCCTAATTCCCTTTCTCCAAAAAAACTCGTTGTTAATTTAATGCAACATCATTCTTCAAGTCCTTCAACTCTAATGATGCTCTTTGGTTTGTCCATCACTAGTTTTCCTCTTGAAACTATAAAGAGATTCAAAGTTTTCTCTAGTAGCATACAGCATAAAATTGGTGCCAATTTGTTATTGGTCAACCACTTAAGGATCAGCTCTAAAATTGAGCTGCTGTGATCCATTATTCAACATAGTCCCAGTTTGAGTATAAACATATACTATAGTTCGAAATTTATAGGACAAGCCACAACTGCGCTGACATGCATAAACAAGATTCATGTCTCTTTATGTACTAAAATGCAGTGCGATCAGTTTCAATTTAAAATTTACCAAAAATATTGTTAAATAACAAATGCAAAGACCAAAAGACGATTCTACTAATAATTGAAAGGCAAAAATATGAACATATGAAATAGCCATAAACTTTAAAAAGTTTGTTCATATGAACTTCCATGAGATTAACCGAATAATTAATGCACAAAGAAACAGGGCAAGCGAACTGTGGAGCGCTTTATATGAAAAAAAGTTAATTTTTGTCATAAAATCTCGCAAAAGCTAGTCCTCGAAGCAAATCCTTGGATGGAAACAAAATAAAATGACGGACGTACCTTCTCAAATTCATAACTTTGGTGAATTCAGAGAATTCCTTTATTTATCCTGATATCTTCTGCTTTTTTAACGTTCCGTATATTCCGCGACGGCCACAAATGCAGCGGCAGAGGTGTGGCCGTTTCAATAAATGGATACAAAATTGCATCTTTAGCAAAAAAAAAAAAATGTTAGCAACAATAACATCGCAAAGGAACCAATAGCTGCAAATAGCAATTCATTCTGGAACCGTTTCTTAATCGAACAAATAACGTGTATTCAAAGGTCTTCTCGTCGTTCTACAACTCATACTATGATAAAATCTGAGTTATGAACCCCCATAATTCAGACAACGAATCATCCAAGAAAGCTCAAATCACAACACTAGTTGATCAACGAGAACTTGAAGCACTTAAATTCCTAAATCGTAATTATTCTCGGTGATAACTCATTCACAACACCAATCAATTCGACAGATCCCACGCAAAAGGCAAAACAAGATTCGACTTATCCCATTCCGAAATGTAACGAGAACAGGGGAAAACAGGAGGAAAGGCGAGACCTCCGATCCAAGACATATGAACAGATGAACGAGCCTGTGTCTTAGGACGCAACAATATCCATCGACAACAATTCTAGGGTTCGGGTTACCTCGCAGTACCCAAATGCAGCGGTGTCGGTGGTGTGAACCGCGAAGACGAAGAAAGGGGTAACGGAGTTATCCCCACCGGCTTTTATATGCGGAACGCGCTGCATCCTACGCGCTGGCCACGTGGCGTTCGCCGATTCGGAAGAGTTGGCCGCGACGAAGAGGAAGGGTTTGTTGCAATGGAAACCGCAGAAGACGGGTTTGTTGGACGGTGATTAGTACGCTTAGAATAGGAAGGGACGTGCAGTGATGCTATGGATGGATGCGAGGAAGTTTGGGTCGGGTCGCGTTGAAGGAAGTTTGAACCGAAAAAGAACGGGTCGGGTCAATTTGGTCAAATATCCTAATTAATCGGATAATAACAAATGATAATACTTCATAAAAGAGGAGATTTCAGGCCAAGTTCGGGTCCTGAAGCCCAAGCTTATCCCTTAAAATTTGGGCCTTTAATAGGCTCACTCCGGCCCACTTAATTGACTCGATTCACGAGATCGAACCAAGCCGGGGACAGAGACACGACCACATGCCTGCTTGCACGGCGGCCGGCACCCATCGGCCCTCTGCTTTTTTACTTGCGTTTCCCTTCGAAAGCTTCACTGCGGGCTGCTGCAAAAGGGGTGCACGCTTGTCGCATGATTCGACCAAATGCATCGCCTCGTAAAGCCACACGCAGCCTCCGCATGGCATGCATACGTAGCAGAAAAAGAACGTAAAGTGACTTGCAATGAGAAGCAGAAGGCTTAGACCTCCACCGGTGCATGCAATGATGATCTTTGTGAAGATAAGAACACATGCAGTCTTCTCAGGGAAGAGTCGTTCATGTGAAACGCTCATGATTCGTGTGAGGCTAATCATTTACCAAAGCTTGACCCACCATTGCGACAGAAGTAGATGAAACTCTCAGAACTAGCTATGAGTATGTCTCTCTCTCTCTCTCTCTCTCTCTCTCTCTCTCTCCGCATGCACTCTGTAGAAACGTTAATGGAAAAACATAATATCTCCTTTTATATATTTTTTTCCTTTTTTCCTTGTATGATTCTTAAGACATCTTTAAACAATTGATTCACTCTTGAGTTCTACTTTGGGAGTTATTTCTCCCGTCTATTTTTTAGATTTTTTTGAATTTCTTATCATATTATTAATGATAAAATATTTTTATTATTTTTCATGAGCATACGTAGAAGGATCAAAGCCTAATTATACAGTAAGTACTTCTTAAGGAATACTTTAGTCCAATATCATTAATTTCTTCGAACTTTCTATTTCTTGTTCCAATATCATTAGATTTGCATTATTCCGAAAAGTATGTCGTGTTTTCAAAATAGTAAACTCATCGTGCTCTTATAAATCAATTCAAATTTTAACTCATTTCTAATATGAAACTAAATCATGAGATTAGAAAACAATAATAAAAGAGGAGATAATCTCTGAGTAAACCTGCTTGAATCATCAGAGAAAACCAAGATTTCCTGAGCAAACTATGCCATTAGTTTGATGGATTAATCTCCCAGAACGAACAATCTATCGTGTTCAAAGGAAGAAGATGCCAGAGAAGGTAGAAAATGGAGCCCAACATGCTGTAGACTCCTGCAACAAAACTGAGCAGCAGCTGGCCATCATCTGACAGAAAATACATTAATGCACCATTAATTCAGCATCAAAGGTTAGCACATGAGAATGCTCATCTTCCTCCTACCCACTCCTCCCAGTCTCTATCCAGCTTTAATTCCACCATTAATGGCTTCAACCAATTGGGCCCAACATTTAACAACAGGAAGCTGCACTGTCATGCATGAATAATACACCATAACATCTGTGGCCAGCAGCACCTGCCTCCAATTCAAATGTTTGAATTGGAGTAAAAGGGCCAGGTTGAATGCTTGGTCGCTTCTGAGAACCCACAAGTCAAACAAATGAACACCAACATTTTCGCCATGTAAAAACTTCTGCTATCACTAACAATTGCTTAGACACCATATTTTTGAGAGCATGTGTATGTTATTAACAAAAGACACACAGGTCTTGCAACCATAGAGACCGCCTTGCCATAGTTAATCGCTCATCAAGTAGGACCGATAGTGTTTGCAAAACCTCAGTGTTCACAATGGTCATCGCTAGCTGAATCTTACAAACACCTGAGACACAAGCAAAAGTTACATCAAAATCTACCATAAATCAGATTTTATGCTGAAAATAAGGTTTTCAACAGTCTAACCAAACATTCAATATTACTGGCTTAGTAATGTCGGGAATCAATTAGCATGTATCCATTTCCTTTAGAACCATAGCAGAACATACTCGATATTGCTCTTAAACTGTTGCCTACTGTCATTATGCTACAACAAATGGCTGCTACTGGGATGAAATGCAACTGACTAGAAAGATTCATAGCTATTAAGGCATGAAAATATATTACAGTCCACGGACGAGAGAAGGCTCAATGCTATATTATTAATTGAATTGGAGATTTTAAAAAGAGGTCAAATAATGGACATTTATAATACAAAGAGATGTTTCATTAGTGGATTATTACCAAAGGAACGTGGAGAATGGAAGAAAACATGTCAACATTCCACAAACAGGTGCCGCACAATTTTGTATCACCATAGGCCAATGATAGAAGAATGTTAAGTCAACATCACAAACCCATGAAAAGGATATACCGGAAAGTATGTTTGTTTGTGATGAAAAGGAAACTGGCAGCTCCCTCGCCTGCTGTCAGCTCATTAGCACCTCAATCCTTCATTATTTACCAACTTGCAAGACAAACATAGTCCACTGCTACTTAGATAAACATAGGGACCTGTTTCACTGTTCGTCGATGCACAAAAAACACTTCATGGATTATAAAAGTAGGTAGAGAAGAAAATTAGAAATATTAACATTTAAAATCCTCCTATGAGAAGGCACCTGACTGCTGAATGATGCCTAATATTCATGTTTGCAATACCTATCTGAAAAACAAGTACAAGGACCAGAGGAATTTAGATTGTAGAACTATGAGATTGTATATCCTAAATGATACTTTTTCTTTCATAAGCTTATTATTGTCAGGTGATACATCATATTCAGAGCCATATAATTGAGGGAAGATGATAGAGATATGTGAAGCTGGAGGAGGTTCTCCATCTCTATGGCTAAAAAAATATACTTATTGAGGGATTGGCAAACCATGAAATAAGGAACTTATAAAGAGTAAGGTAGACACTAAGCATAAGTGTTGTCATTTAACTATGCATAGTTTAGTTCTACGAGTATCAATTCCAATCAACCATGTTTTTGCTAGTGAATTCATAAAAGTTGAAACATGTATAAGTTGTACAAGCAAACAAACTTACCATGTAAATGAGAATTATGGTGTACCCGTCTTGTAAGTTTACCAAACAGATATAAAAGCTGAAAGGAATACACATAAAATTTAACTATGTGACAGTCGTGAAAAATCACAGTGAATGAAAATGTGAAATTCCTATAAGCATAATCATTGAATTCTGAACAGAAGATTCATATCCATTAGAAATAAGAATTTGTACCTTAGAGAAGAAAAATCAGCAACTCTTTTGCTTTTGCTGGATGCAGAAATAGGAAAAGGTAAAGTTCCAAATACCACATTTTTCTTTAAATCTTGATGAATTACAAGTGGAGCTGAGAAACGTATTGCATATGCCATGCCATACAATCATCAAAGTCCAGACTACTTGTACAATCCAGTAAAGCATTTTGCTGCTGTTCATACCGACAAATATAGTTCAACCCTACCAGAAGCTCACAAATAGTCGCCTCTGTCTTCTCCCTGTCAGCAAAATGTAAAGTCTGAAGCAACAAAACATTTTCTCTCGACACTATTTGCTGTTGCTCAAAGTTCCGCTCAGTCTGCCAACGAATCATATCATGAGCCATGGGTAGCAGCCAGCTCAAGATTTTAGCAAGTGCTTCCTTCCAATTGTGTGCAAGTGGAGCATCATAAATAGCTAAATTCTTCACATACGACTTCAGGCTCTTTCTAAGAGCTGCTCTTAAGCTCGAGGGCAACATCTGGTACAAATCATCTCTTGCATCCTCCCCAACCAAATGCGGATACTTTAGTAACTTCTCAATGATAATTATGATGTTTGCATAATGCAATGCAAGAGCTGATCCACCCACGGTGGAGGGTGCCGCAAGCATCATTACGTCACTCCTTGGCCCAAATTTTGATCTTCTTCCACTTGTATTCTGCACTATTTCATCACCAAATGGAACCAAAGCACCAATTGCAGGCCGACTGAGGCAACTCTCCTTCTCTGACTGCTCATTGCTATCCTTCAATAGAGCAGAGCTGCCTAAACTGAGGCACTGCATGAAAAGGCGCCCAGGACTTGCTCCACAGTGGAATCGGAGACCCTCTCCCCGGAAATTAACACCAGTGACAGCATCAGAAGCCACGGCAGGGATCTTCACAGACTTGCTATCCAGGGAACCTGATCTTAGGGACCCTGAATGAATTGGGTACTGAACTGGACTAACAATTTGGTCTGAAAGCTGACAACTTTGATCACAAACTAGGGAATCCAGGGTGCCGATTGTATCCCCAAACACGAGGCAGATCCGAGAATGGATAGTGCAGACAGCTCGGGAGAGGAGGAGGACGACCTTGTCGAAAGTTCGGTTCCAAAGGGAGGAGTCACGCAAGTGCTTAACGTCTCGCCGCTGCCACTGGATCTTCTGGTCGAAGGCCTGGCGGCTCGCGTGGTGGGCAGGGTTCTGGTGGAACTTCTTGGCAGCGTGCTCCAGCTCCGTGAGAACCTCCAGCTCGGCGTAGAGAGCTGAGGTGGAGGAGACGAAGCGCTCCATCTTGCGGATGGTCCCGGCCATGTCCCTGGAGAGGAAGCCGAGGCCGGAAGGATCGACGCGGCCGGCAAGGAGGTCGGAGTACACGTGCTCGAAGCCAACGAGGGCGGGATGAGAGCAGCGGCGGCCCAGGCGGGCGGCGACGGCGGCGACGCAGTTGAGGTCGTCCAACTTCTCGGCGAGGGCGAGGGAGAGAAGAAAGGGTTCGTCGGAGGAGACGAGGTGGTTGACGCCGTAGGCGGTGAGGGTCTGGGAGCGGAACCGCGCCATCTCCGATTCGGACAGGGAGCGGTATAGACCGATGGCGCGGGACATGGCGCTGGCAACCTCGAAGGAG